CTGCACCACCTGACCCCAAATCTGAGCCTATCATACACTGGAACCCCCTATCCTGAGCCTCTTACATCCCCAAACTCCTGCATCCCCACATCTCTAGTCTTCTGCCACAACATTCCTCCACCATCCACACATCACAAATCTATGTCCTGAGCCCATCATACTCACAACCTTCTTGCCCTGAGTCCCTCACGTATCCAGCCCAAACTCCTGCACCCTCACAGACACAAGCCATGGCTTGCTCAAAACCCCAAGCTTCCACCTGAGCCCAACACTCCCCAGCCTAGAGCCCCCTCCCCGAGCCAACAGCCCCTTCTCCTACATTCAAATTCCCTCCCAGAGCTTGTACTTCTCACCCCTTCCCACACCCAAATCCATCATTCCCACCCCACACCTCACTCTCACTAGGTTGAGATAGGTATAAGGGTTGGGGATAGAAATTGACGGAGAGGAGGGGAACAGAGTGGATGAGGCCTCACGGAAGGGAGGTGGGGGGAGTCCATCCCCCCCCCTTTTTTTTTTGCTTGACAAACCTAGGGGTTCCTTGAAATTCTGAAAAGCTGAAAAGGGTTCCTTGGCCAAATAAAATTGGGAAACACTGTGGTAAGAGGAAGCTGTATATTGGACTTGGTGGCCCTAGTTCAGGGGTGGGCAAAAGGGAATCTAGCCTGCCAAGTGGGATGATTAAGTTTTCTCTGCCCTGACAGGAGTGTGTGACTCCTGGCAGGGCAGGAAGAGACTCTACGTGCTCCCTAACCCCAAACCCTGATTGGACTGGAGGTAGGAGGAGCGTGCAAAGTTTTCTCTGCCCTTCCCTGCAAGGAGTGCACAGTGTTTAGAAGCACCACACACTCCTGGCAGGGGGGGAGGAAGTTTTGCGTGCTCCCCCGCCCCGGGACAATCAGGGTCTGGGGGCGGAAGGAGTGCACAAAGTTTCCTCTGCCCTGTCCCTGCCCTGTGAGGAGTGCATGGCACTTGCCACACACTCCTGGCAGGGTGGGAGGAGGCTTCACACGCTCCCCTATCCCCAAGCCCTGATTGGCCTGGGGGCAAAAGGGGATGCATGCATAGTCTCCTCCCACGGCCAGGGGCACAAGTGCCTAGGGGGAATCTCTGGGAGGGGGGCAAAGGTACCCTCCCACCCTCAGACTAATCGTGGTCGCTGGATGGGGAAGCAGGGAAGTATCCTGCCCCCGCCCCTTCTGCTTGAGGCCCCGCCTCTTCCTCTTGAAGTCCCATCCCTTTAGGTGTAGCCAAGAGCCACTTCAAAAATTTCTAAATTGGCCCCCAGCAAAAAATTATTGCCCACCCTTGTCCTAGCTCTTACCTTTTAGGAGGAATTCTTGAACAAACAGACAAACACACCAACGCACACACACACACAAACTCTCTCAAATATATAGTAGATTATATTCCAAAGAATCCCAATGGGAATGTTTGACAATCTGCTTTAGCCTAATTCATTTGAAGTCAATGGCAACTTTGTCATCAAATTTAATGGGAGCAGATGATTATTAGTCACTCCTGAATTACTTCTGGGATGGATGATAGAAATCAATCTGCACATGGCAGATCAGTGACAGTAAGGGTATGTCTACACTACCCCGCTAGTTCGAACTAGGAGGGTAATGTAGGCATACCGCACTTGCAAATGAAGCCCAGGATTTGAATTTCCCGGGCTTCATTTGCATAAGCGGGGCGCCGCCATTTTTAAATCCCCGCTCGTTCGAACCCCATGCCGCGCGGCTACACGCGGCACAAACTAGGTAGTTCGAACTAGGCTTCCTAGTTCCAACTACCGTTACTCCTCATGGAATGAGGAGTAATGGTAGTTCGAACTAGGATGCCTAGTTCCAACTACCTAGTTCGTGCCGCGTGTAGCCGCGCGGCACAGGGTTCAAACGAGCGGGGATTTAAAAATGGCGGCACCCCGCTTATGCAAATGAAGCCCGGGAAATTCAAATCCTGGGCTTCATTTGCAAGTGCGGTATGCCTACATTACCCTGCTAGTTCGAACTAGCGGGGTAGTGTAGACATACCGTAAGGGAAGTTTTAACCAAGGCCACTAGAACAAATCCCTACACTTCTGAAAGGAGTCATGAAGTTGTTAATGTCCAGGCAGAGAAGATAGGAATTTATATTATAATGATACATTGAAAGACAGATCTTTATAACCTGTAAGGAACTTAAGGTTTAGCTGGCGCCGGCAGGGATTTGAAATTCTGGTCCAGGGAAGTCTCTAGCAAAGGTGCCAACTTTGTAATGTGGCTGGGGCAGCTCTCCTCCTGGTGCTGCCCCAAACTTTGCCCCCCACTCCACCCCTTCTCGAAGACCTCACCCCCACCCTGCTTCTTCCTGCCCCTGCCTTGTCCCCATTCCATTCTGCACCATCCTCTGAGCATGTCCCAACCTCACTCCTTTCCTCCCCATCCCTGGGCCACCTATACAGGTTGAGCTGGGGGGAGAGGGAGAACTGCTGAGCACCCACCATTTTTCCCCCCATGGGTGCTCTAGTCCTGGTACATTCATAGAGTCAGTGCCTATGATCGCTAATATTTCAAATCTGAGGCCAACCACTGAGCCATCTTCTTCTGCATTTGTGCTCCTAGGCTTATTTCTCACCTATTCACCCAGATTCATGAGACATATTGCTTACTTGCAGGTTAGAGCTACAAATCTTTCTTTTCATTACCTACTCCTATGTCATTCCTTATTGAACTTTTTATATTGATTTTCCTTCTCAAATACAGACACGAAACTCCATTATCGGTGACAACTATCGGTGGCCCCTTACCATCCCCTATGTCCTTGAGGATAGCCTGGGTATAGTATTTGTGCCTTTGAATTATATATATTGCGTTGTTTGAAAAATTGCACTAGTTTTAAATACAAGTTTGTTTTTAAAGTCATTTGCCTAAGGTATGACACTACGTGAAGGGAAAAGAAAGAAAAAGTTACTGGGGATCTTTTTAAGTTAGGGAATCTTGCCTTTCCATTTGCACAGTTGAGTGACCAAAATTTTGGCTATGAATAGATGAAAGGCTTTAAACCAAATAAATCTCTTCGAGGGGATGACCTAGACATATTGCTAGCATTCAAGGGTCTGAACAATCCCAGTGAGGTGTTCATAACCCTTTACTTTCTCTGGGTGAAATCTGAGTTTTTTTAGTCAATCCTTGGTTCTAAAAATTCCACTAAGATCAGTAGGAGTGGAGAGCACTCAGCAACTCTCAGGATCAAGTATTAAGTACTTATCTTGTATTGTATGCATAAAAATCACCCATAAATATATTGTATTATGTTTAAAGAAAACAAGGCTAAAAAACAATGTAGCTTCTTAGGCCTTTACTGAATTTTTGCTCAATCCTTCATCCAAGATTTTAATAGTAGTTTGCCCGAGTGAGGTCTGTAAAAGCTCTGCAAGGATCTATATTGATAACAATGCTCTGTGTTTCCCTTACAGAAATGAATGCTAAAGGACTTATACTCAAAGCATTTGAACGATATCGTCTAAAAACATGTATTGACTTCAAACCTTGGGAAGGAGAACAAAATTATATATCAGTGTTCAAGGGCAGTGGGTAAGAGGGAAAATGCGACAAATTCTCATTCCATGTGGATATGTGGCCAGTTTTTATGTATACTACTTAGTATGTTCTCCAAAACCAGAGAACTGAATATAATTCCTTATCTCAACCTATTCATTTCTCAGATTTTACATATTGTAAACTATAATTGCCTGAAACCTGGTATGAAGTTGGAAAAGGTTAAGTTTTCCCTTATACTTATTTGCAAACAAACACTCTAGGTCCCAATGGGAGTTGTAGAGAACTGAATCCTTAAGTGACAGTTTTTTCCTTTCTTTGTAAATCGAGCTATTTGATCAAACTCTTGTTTGGCCATTGGACTTACTAATTTCATTGTCAAGTTTTCATACTACATTTCTCTTATAACAATTATGTACCCCACACTGGGAATGCCATAGCTTCAGTTGCAGGACTGCAAATTTGTCCGATCATAATAAAGAGAATTTCATGTGGTTAGTGACATAGCAGGGTTGTTTTGCATCCCACCTGTGCCTGGAAAATGGTTAAAAAAAAATTAGACCTAGGCTAATTTGTTCCTTCCATGTTTTTTACTATATAGGCCTATGCACTAATAGTGAAAGTGCAAGTGTGATCTGAATACTATGGGCTAAAGCCAAAAAAGGATTTAAGCACCTAACTCTAAAATATAGATAATTAAAACTACTATTCAGCTGCCCTCTAACACTGTAGGTTCCTGGATTTCAGCCACTAGATATGCACACAGCCACCTCAGTCCTGACACCCAACTTACACCCAAGGCCCTGTGACATCTTCAGATTAGGCATCTTTCTTGCATGCACAGTCCAATCCATTAGGCACGCTGAAAACATGTCTAGTAGATGGGAATCCACATGAAATATTATTAATGGTGGTAGTGCCATCTTCTTGTATCTTTTAGCCCAATGGTTAGCACATGCATCCAGCAAGTGGGTGACTCCAGTTCAAATCCCACCTCTGTTTGATGGGAATGAGGATTTGAAGTCCAGTCTAGCACCTCACAGGTGATTGCCCTAATCACTGGGCCATAAAGTATTCAGCATGCCTCT